CGTGGTTTGGCCTCCCTGCCAGCAGTCTGAAGCAGGACCGCAGCGGCCGGCCAGGAGTGCTGGATCGACTCGGCCGGTTTCCCATACGCTTGCCCTACTTTACCAAGAAGGCTCAGATGTGAAAATAGGAGGCAGTGTGTAACTGCTTCGCAGTGCATTTGTGTGCGAGGGCCAGCAGAAGGTGGTCTCGGCTTCCCACAACCTCCGTTGCAGTGGCCAGTGGTGCGGTGGGGAAGAGGCCGGGTTCAGACAACAAAATAACCCACGGTCGAGGGTTGAGTGTGGGATGTTGTTGAACCGTGGTGGATCTTACTGTCTGAACCCAGCCAAGCAAACAAACCATGGGGAACAAACCACAGATCACAGTCTAACAACAAGCCATAGGTTCTTTTCATGGGCTGTTTGTGACCATAACTTGCTAGCACAACTATGGGAATCCACATTTCAGCAACAACACACAGTTCAAGTCAAACCTTAACCCTGATGCTTAACCCCTGAGTATAGATCAGCCTCTTTATTCATTATTTATTTACTTATTAGTTGTATATCCCATCTTTTTTTTTTCCTTTCAGGAAACTCAGGGTAGCTTACATAATAGACCTCCGTCTCTCAATTTCATCCTCACAACAACAACCCTGCAAGGTAGGCTGGGCTGAGAGTCTGTGACTGGGCCCAAAGTCGCCTGTTGACTCCATGGTTGAGCGGGGACTCGAACCCGGATCTCCCGAGTCCAGTCCTGCACTCTTAACCACGGTGCCGCGCTGGCCGTCTCGATCCAGGCTTGTCTCAGTCCAGGTGCACATGTGAGAGAGAGAGAGAGAGAGAGAGATCATGTTCTCCCACTGCCCTTTAATTCACTGGCCAGGCACATGTGTTTAATTAGGGGGTTTCCATAAGCTTGGACAAGTGGACAGACACCTCTTCTGGCATCCCTCAGCCCCCCCCCCCCCATTTTAATCTTATTTCTGTAGATATTCTTAAATTATTATCTCCCCGGGACGTTGCCCCATGGCCAAGCGACCCGCTGCCCTCCCGCAGGCCCATCATTTGGGTTCCAGAGAGGAATTTGGTGGTCCCGAGTGCCGTTTCCACCCCTGCCTTGTACTTACTGCTTGGAGGAAGTTATCCTATTTTCCAGTTTCTCCCAGTTTCCTTCTGGGAAATAAAGACTGCATGGCACGTCCTCCCCACAGTGCCATGACTGGGCACTCTCAAGGCGGCAAGCGTCCCTCTGACCCTGAGAATTTGAGCCCCCGGCAAAGGCCAAACCTTGCTTGGAAGCCACCACATGGAGCCTTTGGCAGCCGGGGCGTCACCTGATAAGCAGCAAGATTTGCATCCTGCACGTGGCCCAGGAGGCCTTGGCCTCGAATGTGGGAAAACCTGCTTTGGTGCAGGAGAATAATCCCTGTTTGGGGTCAGCCCCAAAACGCCCCTGGGCCTGCAGCCCTGTGCAGAATCACCTTTTGGAGTCACACCCAGGGCAGTGCGAACGACGTCTCAGCTGGCCAGCTATTTGTGGCATTTGCTGTGTCCAGTGGGCATTGCCCAGTGGGTGTATTTTGGACGTTGCCCCAGGAAAACACTGGGTAGTTGTTTTTATCCTGCTATTATTCCAAGAGGCTCAGGGTGGGGAACCAAATTCTCCTGCCCCCCAGATTATCCTGCTAACAACCCAGCGAGGTAGGCTGTTCTGAAAGACAGACTGGCGCAGTTAGCCAGCTGACCAGGATTTGAACTCAGGACTGCCTGGTCCTAACCCAAAGCCTGTTAAAGCGATAATACTTGAGCAGTTACACTGACCTACCGCAACCAGTTCAGCCTCCATCAACTCCAACCCAGCATATTATGGTTGCTGTGTTCTGCGCTGGCTGGGACAATGGGAATTGTAGTCTGGAGCAGATTCAGCACCCTGCTGCAAGCTGGTGGTTTCCAGACGTGTTGGACTGCACCCTCCATCATTCCCAGCCAGCATGAATTACCAGGTTCTAAAATCCTCTAAGAGGGAATTTTAGACTGGACCTAATGAGGCGCCCTGTTTCAGCGCCACTGGGATGAGGCAGGCCCTGCTTCATCTGGGTCCATGCTGTGCTCCTAGGGTGGAGTGGAATCCTAGACTTCTGTCCTGGCCGTGGCGCTTCTGGCAGGGCCTTTTCTGCAGTGGCCCTTCCCCTAATTGTGGTTGATGATGTTGTTTGAATTTCTGTTTTCATGAACTTGCAGCCTCCTCGAATGCCCTGAATAGTAGGCTAGAAATAATAATAATTAATAATAATTTCAGAATCTCCTCGGGATTAGTGGCTTACCTTTTTAACAATGGCAAGCTTGTTGCCTAGGTGAAATGGGTGAATCAGGGTCTGGGAGACATCAAAGGCAAATTTCCTGGCTTCCTGGAGTGGAAAGCAACTGGCCAGTTCAACCTAGGATGACTCATTGCCAGATCACCTTTTCTTTCTCTCTCCTCCTGTTCTTCTTTAAAGGGATTCAGGAATTCAGGCACCGAAAAGGATTCTGACCGGGCCCTCTGGGCTGGGCTGAGAGGCAGTGATGGGCAGAAATCAGGGAGGTCCATCTGGGGGGAACGGGATGGGACTGGACGGGACCAGCACCTATTCCTCTCCTAGTCCAGGCTCCCCTAATTTGAACCTCTCACTGCCAGGGAGAACTTCATGAGAAGCAAAGGGGTGACTGCAGGGGATTTGGAGGGAAGGGGACATGTTGTCATGTCCAGGCTTATCTAGATCGCTACTGGGGTTGCTGGAGTCTTCTGCAAACCTTCTTTGCCTTTAAAAAACAACATTTTCAGTGCCCTGAGGACTAGGAACCTTTTGTTCATTTTTAAGCAAAGGCTAGGATTCCAAGAGTCCTGTGTGATTCTAAGGTTGTCAGGTGTTTTCTGCACATGAACATCAGGGGGCCGGTGAAGTAGGCTTCCAGTCAAAGTTGTACCACATGCCTTAATATTCCATATGCAAAAATGGCCAGGATCAGGGCCCGAGTGCTCCTGGTTCTGCAAGTGCCGGCAGGACCCGGAGCAACTGAAGAGCAATCAGGCCGTGCAGCGGGAGGGCCTGAAGAGCAGCATAAAGGGCTTCCTGGCTGATCTTCGCCACAGCAACGCAAGTCGTCTTCAGGGCTCTCTTGCGCTCCAGGCCTGCTCCCGCTAGTCCCTGCCTAGTCCCGGCCTGCTCCAGCCCTGCTCCTGCTTGTTCTTGTGTGCTCCAGGCGCTCCTGCCTGCTCCAGCCCCCTCTTGTCCGGACCCCCTTTCCGTGACTGCTTCCCTGGCATCAGGCCACTGGACTGTGCTCTCTCTCTCATGCGTCATATCGGGCCGCCTGCCGCCCCGGCCCTGGCCCTGCACTGCTGCCGGCGCCACGTGCCTCTAGCGCCACTAAGCTGCAGGACCTGCCTTCGCCCCAGCTCCCTGGTCCTGGCGCCCTTCCGGGACCGCAGCTGAGCAGGCGCACGGAGCGAAAGGGAGGGCGGCGGGGCAGGGTGCCCTCTTCGGTCCGCTGGCCTCCTCCACCGCAAGGCCTTCCCGGCGGCCCCGTTATGGCACCTGCCCTGAGCGCCACGAGCGCTGGGCCGCGCCGGTTTGCCCGCCCGTCGCTTTAGCAGGTGGTGGACTTGGTGATCAGGCTTCGCGTGGAGGGCAGGGCAAAGGGGGCTCCGTCCCAAGGGTTGCAGGGAGCGCCTTTGCTCCGGTTCCTGGGTTGGACTTTGGACAGCCAAAGCAGGCCTTGCTTGGCGCAGTCATGCAGAAGCCCCGACGGGGCCCCGAGTGCCCGGCACATGCAGGATCCTTTTCTTTTCAGGGGGGGGCCTGACCCGAATGGTTTGGGGTCCAGGGCCAAGTCCCCTCTCTCCGCCTTCCTGCTCCTCCATCTCCACTTTCCTGGCACTGCTTTGCTGTTGATGAAAACTGCTGCCAGAAACCAGCACTGCCGTTGCCTTCATTTGCACACTTACTTTGCGCCCGGGTTATGCATGCCGAGTGGTTTTTTTCGGGGGGAGGGGGACTGAAGAAGTGTGAACGGATGCGTGGCAACCCGAGTCTTTTGTAAGTGGACAGCTGTCTTCTGGAAACAGGGCACAGAGTATTCTAGCCATTTTTAAATGTTGCTGACAGCTCTGTTTTCAGACTGCTGCAGGAGGGCTTAATCATGTATGCATGTGTAATTATTTCATGCTACTTCAATTTTGTAAAATACCAGGGACCAAAGCCAGAGTATGAATAGCTTAAACAAGTAAAATTGCACCAGTGTTGAAAAGGTCTGCATGATTCGTTTCAAAAGCTTGCAAGTGCCTTCAGAAACGGCCGGGTCCCAAAAGGTGGGCGCTTTTTTTTATTGCAAATTTTGCTCCAGTGGATCACAGCATCGCTCCCTGTTTGTGAAAGGAGCTTCCTGGGGCGCTGGTGTGGGCCAGGCACTGTATTCACCCGCTCGCTCTTGCTCTCCCTTTTGAGCTGATTCACCTTGGAACCGTAAGGCCTTCTTAGAACAGTGCCCTTTGCAAAACTGGCCGGGGAAGGTGCTCGCTCCGCCCCGCGTCTTGAGTTAATCTATAACTGCTCGAGAGAAGGGAAAGCGCGGACAAACATCACAGCAAGATGCCTTTGGGCACCTCGAAGATTAATTGGCGCATTGTTGGCAGATCAGCATGGACTTCCACTGGTTTCAGAAGTGGATAAGAACCCAACTTGTTTTTATAATATGCGCTAAGAATGACTTAGAGCAGGAGGGGGGAAGCTGCCACTGTTGGCTGGGTTCCTTGCAGCTTTCAACCTGATTTCAAAAGCCCCCTGTGTGGGACCTGCTCAGACCCCTGGAGAGAATCAGCTGGCTTCCCCGGGCAAGCAGGAGCGAGGGGGGAATGGGGTGGAGCCAACTCCTCTGGGCCCCGCCCACTCCCAGCCCTGGCCCCGCCCACTCGCTAAATGCACAACACTCCTGCAAACTGCTTGGCCGCACTGCTCCATTTCCCGCTCGCTTTGCAGGTACGACACCGGGAAGGACGGCTTCATCGACCTGATGGAGCTGAAGCTGATGATGGAGAAGCTCGAGGCTCCCCAGACGCACCTCGGCTTGAAAAACATGATCAAAGAGGTGGACGAAGACTTCGATGGCAAGCTGAGCTTCCGAGAGGTGAGCGCTCCCGGCGCATCCGGCGCCGCGTCCTCCTGGGGCACCCCGCTGTTCTGCGGGGCCGGCCGGGCTCCACGCGCCCCTTTGCCTGCCATCCTTCTCCTGACGTACCTCTTGCATGTTCTTAGACCCTTTTTAAAGGGCCGAGTGATGCCCCTGGAAATCCTGCCGCGCCACAGGGCGAATCAGGGCCCTTTCCCCCAAGCCGAGGGTTTTCTCGGGTCGCGGTGCAGTGACGATTTGCCCGGCTTCTTCTCCCCGCTCCAGTTCCTCCTGATCTTCCGCAAAGCCGCTGCAGGCGAGTTGGAGGAGGACAGCGGCCTGCACGCCTTAGCCCGTCTGTCGGAGATCGACGTCTCAACGGAGGGTGTCAAAGGAGCCAAAAACTTTTTCGAGGCCAAAGTAAGGAGGCGCGTCTGGAGTGGTGGGCGGACCTTCGGCGGGGATGCCAAGAAACAGCCCCTGGTCCGGGGCTGATTTCCTGCTGTGTGCAAGAGTCCAAGGACTTGGCACCCACTCCCTGCCCTCAGGGTTTGGGGATCCTGGTCAAAACACCGTTGGGGGGGCCCCTTCTCTCAAGCGGGGGCCCTTCCACTGAGAGACTCGGCAGGCTGCTCTGGCAGGGTTCAGCGCGTCTCTGGGTCCAGGTGCTGTTTCAAGTTCAGCGGCAACCCGCTGCAGATCCCTTACGACGGGTGCAGAACCCCTGCAGTCCGAGGGCCGAATCCCAGCAGGGGGCGGGGCCAAAGGCAAAAGGGGCGGGGCCAGCAGGCTGGCAGATTTTCACTGAAGGCGCTTAGGTTGCCAGCAGCTCGGCCTGAGAAGAGACCTTTCAGCCCTTTCGAATGGCACAGTGGGAAACGGCACCCCAGCCAGGAAAGCACCAGCGAACGGTGCTTGGCACAGAAAGTATGATCGGGCAGCGGGAGCAACGGGGGAGGCAGATGGTTTCAGCCCCCGTCTCTGCAGCCCAAGGCCGGGTCCTCCTTTTTTGCTTGGAGAAAGTGAGTGCCCACGTTTTCTGATTCGGAGCACATGCCAACTGCATGTTTCCTGTGGGGTCTGTCAGGGAGCCGATCGGCTACCAGCCAGCAAGAAGGCTCTGCACACCCAGGCAGGGCAATTCGGCTGGTCCAGAGTCCGCTTGCCAATCCCCGGGCACCCTCTGGATGGCACAAGAGGGGCACCCCCCCCCCGCTTCCACACAGGCCCATAAGAGCAGGCCTGGGGAATCCCCGGCCCAAAGACCTCGTGTCACGGGGCTTGCGCTGCCTCCGTGTGTCCCAGGCCGGAGGGGCAGCAGCTCCTCATCTTTTCCATGCTTCTGCTGCTGCACAGCTGAAATTCGCTGGCTTGGCTGCTCGTGGGGAACCTCGTCTAAAAACAAGCTTACGGTTAACCACACAAATTGGGTGACACGGAAGTACTGGCCAAGTACTCTCTTTCTGCACCATGGAAATTCAGCAGTGACAGCCCCCCTTCCGCTTCTGCTGGTGGAACAAGGGGTTATGATTCCCAGCAGGGCCATGTGCCCCCTAATCCTGGAAAACTGCCCAGTGGTTTTTATTTGTCCACAAATAAAAGGGACTAGAAACTTGCCTTTTTAAACAGAAATTCAAAATGGCTGGAGGGAACCTGGGAAGCTGTCCCTGAAGAAGGCAGGCCCCATGGTCTCCACCTACCAAATGCAGCTGCTGCTTTCTAAGGATTGCTTTGCTCACACATTTTTCCGGGGGAAAGATGGGCTCGATGGCCGCCTTCTCCTCCCTGGGGCCCTCCAGAGATTTTGGTCTAGAGCAGTGGTGGTGAACCTCTGGCACGCGGAGCCCTCTGTTGGCACACGAGCCCAGTCGCCCCAGCAGCCGAGCATCAGATAACAGCGCACAAAGGGGCCATGCGCATGCTCAGAAAGGAGTAACGGCGCCAGGCCATGACGACACAAGCCACAGCTCATTAGCCGCAACTCGTCCGGGCTTTCACATGGCTGGTCAGTGCGCTGCCCAGGAGAGAGAGAGAGAGAGAGAGAGAGAGAGAAAGATCAGGTTTTCAGGTTTTGTTGCGGTGTTGACACTTTGCGATAAATAAGTGGGTTTTGGGATTGCAGTGTGGGCGCTCGGTCTCGGAAAGGTTCGCCATCACTGCTCTAGAGCTAGGATTCCTAACCGTGGGCAGTAGGAGTTGAAGTCCAGAGCAAGTGGCACGAACCGGGCTGTGCAGGGCCGCGATGCCGGAAAGGTGCTCGGCGCTGCAGCGGTGCGCCTCGGCCTGTTCCCGTCACACTCCATCGCCTCATTCCTTCTTGCTCGCGCCGGAGCCCACGGCGAAGGGTGGGTGAGCCCCCGGGGAGCCTCTCGCCTCTCCTCCTCGTATCTGGGGCTCGGTGTGGTGCGTTCTCCGCCTGGTGGCAGGGTGGGCGGTGGGGGGGGGGCTGCCGGTTTGGGCTAACAGAGCCGCCCCTCCACCTTCCGCAGGTACAAGCCATGAACGTCACCAGTCGCTTCGAAGAGGAGATCAAGGCGGAGCAGGAGGAGAAGCGCCGGCAAGCGGAGGAGCTGAAGCAGCGGAAGGCGGCGTTTAAGGAGCTCCAGTCGGCGTTCAAGCAGTGACGGGGCGAGGCGGGCAGAGCCCACGAGGCCCGGGTAAAGTCGGACGTGGGGCGAGGCGCGTGGCTGCCCGCCCCCACCGCGTGCCTTGAGCAGCCGCTCGATCTGCCAGCGAGGAGCCTCGCTTCCAGTGCTGCGAAAGGCTTCTGCCCGCTGCAGATCGAGCGGCCGTTGAAGGCACAGGAGCAGGCCGGTAGGGCATTTCTGGTCGGTTGGCGACCCCACACGGTTCACGCTGGGACGGCTGCGGGAGAGGACTGTGTGCGACCCAGGGTGGTGCTGTTTCCCCCGACCTGTGAATGCTGCAGGGGGAGATTCGGAGCGCCTCTGCCGTGTTGCGCGGTCCCATGTTCTCCCTCGGAGCGGGGTCTCCCGTCCCCCGGCGGGCGTCCTCTCTTCGTGACCACTTCATGTGTCCCGGGCTTTGCACGTCCTGCTCGTGAATCATTTCTGTGTGATGCTTTACTGTGGCCATGTGGTGACCTGTGGGGAGCTCCGGGGGTCCCCTGGGACCCATCTCCAGTGACCTTTTCTTGTGCAAGAATTTGGCTTTCCAATGAAAATGCTTGAATGGAGCGCTTTAGGGGCCCTTTGCTCCGAGCTCTGCCCCCAGAATGGGGCAGGACAGGTGTGAGTACTGCAGGTTAGACCGCTTTGTGGCTTGGAATCCCAGGATGTTCCCCTCACGTTGTGGTGTCTCCTCCCATTTTCCTTGACCCCCCCCCCTTAGTTGTGGCAACTGAACTGCCTGCTATGGCCTGGTTGAGGGACCCCCAAACTTTATGGGCACATTTGCAATGGTGAAAGAGTACTGTGGGTGCTTTCACAAAATGGCTGCCCCCAGGCTGGCTTGTCCATTCCTAAAATGGCGGCCGTGGTAGGCGCGGCCAGTCACAAAACACTCATTTCCCAAAAAACTACGTGGTGAGTCTCAGAAATCACTTGCCCAAGAGCCAAGGAAGAGGCGGGATTTGAAGTCCCCTGTACACAAACCAACGCAGTGTTTGATCTGATCCCAAATGGAGCTGGGAGGGGCCGGTTTTGTGGGAGCTTGGCCGCCACCTAGTTGGAAAAGACTGTGAAAAATCTTAAGACGTGGAATGAAGACCGGGGTGGCGGGAATATAGGAGGCTCTCCCCGAGTCATTTATGGGCACTTCGGGGGAAGCGAACTGCAGAGCCCGAGTCTGGACGCTGGACCAGACGTGTGCGAAGTCCCCATGCGACGCTGCGCCACCGAAGGTGCCTCGAGCTGTTCTGGAGTGATTTATCCCGGTCCCTCATCCAGTTCTGGGCTGTCGGGATGGTGCCGGTGCAAGGCCAGCGTTTTCTCCTATCTGTGGGGCCGGCGTTGCATTTGCTCCCCCTAGAGGACAGGAGTAGGCACTGCATGTGTTCCTCGAGCTCCCAGTACTAACTTCGGGGCATCCAAACGAAGACTCCCATCCAAAGGGGCCCTCCACATCTCCTGTCCTGAAGTGCACACATTCACTTCTGTGGAACAAGGAGAGGCACAGCGGCTGCACAATTCTGACATCTTGCCCAAAAGAACCGTGCGGCGAGGAGAGGTGTGTGTCCCCTGGAGGCTTTTCCCGTTCACTTTAGGGATGTGCGAGTCAGCAGCCCCCGAGTTCACCAAAGTTGTCTGAATTCTCCAAGCTTTTTTTATCTTTTCTCTTCCCGTGAAAATCCATGCCTGCTTTTGTGCACCTCGTTCCCAAGTCATGCCTCGGCTGCGCACATCCTGAGAGCAGACTTTTCCAGATGTACATGCGGTCAGGTGCTTTTTGTCTCCGTGAGCGACACGGTAAGCTTGGAAATGTGCAGACGTGGGCTGCAGGTTGCGTCCGAGTCTGTGCTTGGCCCAAAAGGTTTGGGTGGGTAAGGCCTGAGACTGATTTCCCAGGTTGCCCTGCCGTTGCCAAAATCAGCTTTCCTTCCATTTGGTTCCTTCACTAGCTTCTTGCTCAGATCTTGGCACCTACTTGAAACGGCCCATTTGCCAGGTTAAGGACAACTGTTTGGGTAAAAGGCAGTAGAGCAGTGGATGCTTTTGGTGTCGTGGGCCCTTGATTGCGGGAGGCAGGATTCGGTTTGCACAGAATCAGTTCTTGGCAAACTTGATGTTGCGTAATGTGGGTGGCAGCATCTAGTTGAAAATCCGCCCCGTCGTGGGTGACGTGGGACCGAGGATGCTGGAGGCCGGGTTCAGCTCTCGCCTGTTGGTCTGTGTTTCTGTCAAGGCAATAACCGGAAGTGCTGGAGCTGTGAACATCCTGGTGGAAAGTGTAAAGGGGCAGGGGACACTAAATTAACAGGATAAAACATGTTTTGCTCCTCTGTGTTTTGAGCAAATCCACCTGAACCCGGACCTTGCAGGTGAAACTTCCAGAATTAATGTTTGCAGTTCTTTTCGTATTCCGTCTATGTTGAATGTTTGGCCTTAAGTGCTTTGAAATGTGTATCTGGATGTTGATCTTTTTGCATGCACTGTGATCTTAACAGAAAGGGACAACTCCACGCTCCCTGGTCTCATAACAGGAAACCTCAGAATGTTTGACGGGGGAATCATTCTGTATGTGCTTCTTTGCTCAGAGTCTCGCTCGCAGAGAAAACAGCTGTCCTGGCCTGCCCTGAAAGGTCCTTCTGTGTTAAGGCCCCTTGTGCGACAGGGCCTTTTGGTCACTTTGAATATCCCCCTCCCAAGAACTTGGAAGAGGTGGGTGTAACCGCAAGAAAGCCCCTTGCAACTTGCAGCTGTTAGCCGTGGCAGCTCCGTATCTCCGTGCTTTGAAAAATGTCACCCGCTTATTGTGCAGAACACCTTCAAAGCACCAGAGCGGGTTGGGCGAAGTTTTTTTGGATAAGTTGGCAACCCTAAGGAAAGCTTTTTCTTAGAGACCCAGGAGTGCATACATGTCTGGTGTGTTGGACTACAACCCCCTGTGTTGGCTGGTGGATTATGGGAGTTGTAGTCCTGCACGCCTGGAGGGGGCTAGGTTGAGGAAGATTGTTTTAGGGAGTAAACTCCCTGAGAAAAGTGGAGCTTTTAACAGTGTATTTTGTCACATGCTGCCAGCTAGTAGCCGCTCTGCTGCGTTTCCAGTTTTTTGCTCTCTTTCCCTGGGAGACTTGAAATTGCTCTGTTACTTCCCATGCAAACCTTTTATTTTTCTGAGGGAAAGATTTATAGAGTTCCATTAACTGTTTTCCAGAAGGTTGGTTTATTTTTTCAGATTGTGTTCCTTCGGGGTTGGAGGGGCCACTGGAGTGGGTTGGGAAAGCAGAATGCGGAATCTCCCCTTCCATTCTTCAAAGGATTTGCTCCCAACATGTCTGTGGATGGATTTAAAATGTGTGTCTTTTTGCTTTCAATTCCAAAAAGCTGCTCCATTTCAGCGGTATGATTTTATTTTTTTTAACCAAGAATAATTAAAACAAAATTATATTTCATAAGCATCTTGTGGTGTCCAGAGCTGTTTTTTTCTCTCTTGTGGAAAAACGTCCAGTTTGCTTTGAGTTGGAACTTGAAGCCTTGTCCCTTCCTTGCAGCTTGGCTCACTGACCTGAGTTCTCTGAACTTGAGAAGCTCAGCGAAGGGCAGTGTAATGCTACGGTAGAATCGCTTGGGCTGGGAATGTTCTCTGCGTGTTTTGCAAACTGTGAGAAAGTTAAAATGCCAGAGGACAGTGAAAAATTTAAAATGCAGTACAATGCAGAACAATAAACAGCGTAAGAATTAATCAAGTGACCGGAATCACCGAGAAGTCAAGCCTCCAAAACATCTGGGAGAAAAGGAAGGACTTTGCCTGATCCTAGCTAGGTAACAAAGAAGGTGCTGAGTGGAGGGGGAGTCCTGAGAAGGTTACCTCTTGTCACCTCACACCTGGCTTCCTTCAGCATGCGGGGCTGCAACAGAGCACCTGCACAGGTGTGGGCTGGTGGAGGCCAGCCCGAGATAAGCCGGGATAGATCCCCCCCTTCCTCCCCCAGCTCTTCTCAGTTTGGTGTGGGGCACTGGAACTTGCCAGCTGCTTAAACACTCGCCCGCTTCAAGGCTGCCTTTGTTTGGCTTTGGGGCCGATGGCACCTGCTCGCAAATACTTCTGCTCCCAGGGACATCATTGGCCCTGCTTGGGCTGATCGTTTTTCCCGAAATCCTTTATTTCATGAGTGGGAGCAGCGTGGGAAGACCTCGGACTTCTCCTGCAAGGTGCCAGGCCAACGTCTTCCGGCCAGTCCGTTAAACCCCCTTTCCAGCTGGGGGGGGTGGGGGGAAGTTGTGCGAACCCCCCGTTGCACAACTTGGCACTTCAATCACGCGCCTCGTAAGATGACCCCAGAGAATAGAAACTACACAACCAATAAACCAGGGAAGGAGAACGTGTATGCTCCCTCTGTGTTGAACTGAACTCCCATCAGCCCTCAGCATTGGCTCTGCTGGCTGGGGCTTTTGGGTGTGGTAGTTCCCGAGAACAGGAGGGCTACATGTTCCCCCCTCAGCAGAGCAAAGGGGGAGGTGCGCAGCGGCAAAGCACAGGAGGAGCAGCAGAAATCTCGTGATATTTGGAGCCCGGAGGAGCAAGAAAAGCACCCATTTTCCCTGGCGTCCAAATGCAAGCCGGCTGGGTGCCTGGACGAAGGTTTTGAGGAGAAAGTGCTCCATGGATGAGGCGTGTCCTTAAAAAAAAGACCCTCAGCCTGGTGGTTCTCTGCCAAGGAGAGTCCAAGGCATTTTGGGTACCGTCCGATGTATGTTTAGGGAAGCAGACTGCCCCATCCGGGCCAGCGGTGCCTTCTTCCACGCAAGTGTCCGTGAGCCACTGCCTTCCCTGCCTCGTGGGGAAGGACAGCCGGGGACTTGCTCCCGTCCCGTGGCACACTGCCGTTCTGGACTGGCCGTTTAGTCCTTCCTCAGCCATAGAGACAGGACCCCCTTCCACCAAACCTGAAGCCGCCGGGAGTGCCGAGCAGGCGGCGGGACACGCTCCGTCCTCCAGCGCTTTGCCGCCTGAAGCAAATGGGTCACCGCACGAGTGGAAGGCTCGGCCCAGCAATCCGCCTTCTCTCTAGAGTGGAGATGTCGTGTTCCCCTCTGTGCCCCAATTTCTGCCCCTCGACCATTACTTGAAAGATGTCACTTGAAGCAATGTCTTCTTTTGCTTAAACAGGTGCCAGGGAAGCAATATGGGCCAGCGACTACTTGGGAAGCCCTTAACCCCTTATCGTCTTTTGCTCTTGGTACAATGCCAGACCAGACGCCAAAAAGCAAATGACTGCTTTGAACCGATTGCTTCTTCACAATCTCGATGGCAGGTTACGGGCCTCCCGATCCGTCCGACTCCAAGCAAGTTGTGTGCTTGGCATCGCATCCTTATTTGTTGGCATGCTATTCATTCCGTGACATGGTAGATTTTTGCTATGCTCCCTTTGTTAATTCTTTGCCATCAGCTATGCAAAATGCGAAGAAAGTGGGAAAGAGCGTGGGGAGAAGGAGCTGTCGCTTCAGTTAGCGAGTCTCAGCTTGTCTGGGTTTGTTTCCTCTGAGGAGGCGTGTGGAACCGCGTGTCCACAGACCAAACCTGGCTTGCCTGAACTCCAGGTGCTGCTTTCTGATGTTAGTTGCCCCCCATTTCTGGCTTTCACACATTATTCGCCAGCTTCCCAGCAATGTATCCTCCGTCCAAAAGGTCGAAACGCCTCCCCAAAAGCTCGTTAGTGGCAAGAACTGGCACTCCCTGTACTTCTGGCCCTCCTCCCGTGGCCTCCAGGCTCTGCTGGAAAGGGCCCCCTACCAGTTTCTCCAAACTTTGCCTCGTGGCTGGAAGAAGTTCAACAGCCTTTCTGTGCAGGACTCGGGCCCTACAAGCTGGAGGTGCCTCCGGAGCGATAGCTTTCCTCGCTTACTTGGCTCTGACTGGCAGCAGCCCTGCTGGCCGACGTTGAGGACTGGACCTGGGGCCCACGGAGTGGCTGCTTTCTCCTACCAAGCTCTGGCCTCACCTGCTTGCGTCCTCCTCCAGTCCCCCCCTCCCAAAAAAGAGGAATCTCAAGATCTGAAATGCATTAAGCCAGTCCATCATTTCCAGCTGAATAGATCTGAACAGATTCTCATGGAGACTGTGCAAATGTTGGACTTTTTAAAGCCGCTCTCAGGCTTCCAAGGTCCAGATTCTGGGGGGGAGGGGCATGTTTATTCTTGGGGGATCCACACGATCTCCCTCTCTCTGCTATTCCGAGCGTTGGCTCAAACGCCTCCTGACCTGCCCGGGATCAACCCTTTGCCAAAAGCAGGGAGCTGACCTTCCATGCGGCACTGCATTGCAGAAGATCAACCCGCTGATGCAGCAGGATCACCAGGATCCCCCACCAGGCTCCTGCTCCATATTCCGGACTACAGCTCCCAGTGCTCTTGGCCGTTGGCCATGTTGGCTGGTGCTCACGGGGGCAGAAGACTGGGGAAGGCTGACCGCCCCTCTGCCAGTGTCCTGGTATCTCATATCCACTGAGTGCTAATTTTGCAAGGTCAGATTACAGCCCGTTATCACACCTGGGTTTGGTCCACTGCCTCCTGGACCGCAGCCAGGCCTGTCCACTGATATAAAGGCCTCCTGCTCCCTTGGGACACCCCTGCTTCATCAGTCAGCCACCATGTTCCCCCTGGTCCTCGTCGCTCTGCTCCTGGGCTACGGTGAGTCCCTTTCTGGGTGGCGCCCACACCAACCAGAAAGATGAATTCTGGGGGATGAATTCTGCCAGTTTTCTGCACTGGGTGTGTCACTCCATCCAGCTTCCTCTGATGCAGAAGTGCGGCAGAATTGCCCTTCCTTCAAAGAGGGAGCTTTCTTCTGCTGAAGCTCCATGCTCAGAACGGAGACTCACACAGAGAGGCATCACTGAATGTGCTGTTCGAGGGGCACGTCGCTCTTTCATCCTTTTAAAGCATGACTTTTGGGGAAGTAAGAGTGGGTTGTAATTTGGAGGGACAGGAAGTCCTTGGGCTATCAAAATGGTGCAAAGTTCTAGACCAGAAGGCCACCGGATTTTACTCAGTTCTGTTATCCATGCAGTGCAAAAGGGGAGCTGCGGGAACAGGGAAGTGAGATTCAAGCAAAAAACACTTTCAAGGGGTTGTCTCCAAAGGGGCACCAGCCTTTGAGCCAGTGAAATGCACAGAGGCACTGGAGACCAAACTGAGGAATAAATAGCACCGCAGACCGTGTCTGGAGCCATGGCTTAAATTTTTAAAGCATGTGAGCACAACATCAGAGGGTATGCACAAGTCCATCCTCCCCAGAGCAGTCCTCTCGGGGGTGGGGGGTCACAGTTCCCTTCCCCCACAGCCAGCACTCCCAGTGGCCTTCCTCATTTCCCCAGCATTCTAAACAGCTGGTTTAAGTTGCAATTTTACATTTTACCTTTATTGATGGACTGTGTGGCTTCCTATCCCGAGGTTTTCCTCTGTTGCATTGTGTGTGTTGTGTTGTATTTGGCAACTGCAGGATTTTAAAGGTGCACTGCCCTGATAGCTTATGCTATTGGAAGCCAACCAAGTTATTAAAATGGGTGATGAATCATCCATGGTGCACGCTGCTTCCACATTGCTCATCTCTCTCTCCCCCCCCCCCCCCCCCGTCCCAAACCCGCTGCGTCTCCCAGCCCACAGCTGTGGCAAGCCCGCCTATTTGCCGAACGTTTCCCGTGTTGTCGGGGGAGAAGATGCCAGACCCCACAGCTGGCCGTGGCAGGTAACGTGTGAAGACCAGAAACTTCCTTTGGGGAACGGGGAAAATGTGTTTGAAGGGGCGTGTTGTTGGTTTTGGGAACATCCTGTCACCAGAAGCCGCTGATTTCTCTGCAAATACGACGAGGCCTGGGCTCTCATGGGGGCCCTCCTTCCCCTTTCTAGTATGGCCAGGCATCTAGAAGCTGCGGGGAAAACAAAAGGCCTCAGCTTTCTTCCTCCCTGGCTGGTGATGGTCCAGCTCTGCAGAGGCACAGAACGGAAAGAAGGTGGGGAATATATGTTGGGAGATCCTGGGACATTAGTGGGAAGTTCCAGGATCTGCCTAAACACCTGGCAGCAACCAAGCAGCGTCAGGACTCTGGATTTTGGAATCTGGGTGGGTTCCATGGCAAGGCAAGGAAGCTGGAAACAACCTGCTGAAAAACAGGTTGCCGTGGGACACTTCATCAGAACACGGAAGGAGTTTGTGCCACCAAGTAACCCTCCTGCTGGCGCAGGGGTGCTTAACCCAGGGCAACCCAAGCTACCTGGGGCTCCAGTCCCCGCCCCCCGAGGCCGCCATGCCCCCTTCCCCGACCCCACCACCTTTCCCCCAAATGCTGATCATTGGCTGCCTTCCCAGGTTTTATACTTCCCCGTTCCACTGAAGAGGCCGCAATGCCTTAACGTCTCGCTACTGGCACCAGGAGCTGCAGGTGCCCTTCTTGGCGTGTGAGACAAGTCAAGGCCATCAGCTCCCGGCATTCCTCAGCCAACTGGACATTGCTGGGCTGGCTGGGGAATGCTGGGAATGGTACGGCTTTTTTCCGGCCAAACAAGTCCAGGATTGCGATTTTAAGCTCTGAGGTTTGCAGTGTTCCCCTCCCTGCTTGCCTTCAACCTGCCCCACCCAGGGCTGCTCTGAATTTCTCAGCCTCTCCCTTCTGAACATGAGAAAGCAGGCCACTCGTGCCGGAGGGGCATCCTGGCGCCCGCGCTCCCAGGACCTGCTGTCCGCCGGGTGCAGCCCGTGCCGCGTCCAGGGTCCTGGGTCGGAAGCGGAGCGAGTCAGCTCCAGCAAGGGTCTTCCTCCCAGCGCCTCCTGCAGCCGGCATCCTCCTGTCTCGCTTTCCAGGTCTCCCTCCAGTACGACAAGAGCGGCGTCTGGGCTCACACGTGTGGCGGGACCCTCATCGCCTCCGGCTGGGTCTTGACCGCTGCTCACTGCATCAGGTCAGCGAGAAGCCGAACGGGCCGGCAACGGGCTGCGGCACAGCACAGCTTCCCCCAACCTGGCCACCTTCTCGCACTGGACTACCGTACCCATCATTCTCTCTGGGGGCACATTAAGTGCGGGGGCACTTCTCCAAATGTATCAGGGTGGGAGTTCTCACACAGCTTCTTTGCCTCGCGATTCGCCCTTAGCGGTGGTCGCGACGCGTGCTTTCCTCATTCTTTCCCAAGTGTTCCTTCATTTTGTTCCTTCATTTTTGGTTCGTTTTTCCGGCTGTCACAGCAGCTGCTTTGGCAGCCGAGTCAACACCAGGCACCACGCGCGCATCTGAAGGGACACGGCAGCTGCAGCACCGGCAAAGGGCCGGAGGACATGCAGGGAAAATGCGGCCAAGTGGCCTGTTTCAGAGCTGGGCAGGAGAAAAAGAGCAGTTTCCAAAATAAATACCCCCCAACAGTCTTCTGAGAAAGGTCCCCTTAGCACTAGTGAAGCTAGAATCCTGCCCGGAACTGGGGGTGAGGGGATGCGCAACCATTTTACCATTTCCGATTCAGTCTTTGTGTTTCGGTCAGAAAGTGGTATACAAAGTTGCAGGTTAAAACTACTTAAATATAGTTTTCTGTATTCCCTGCATCAAATTTGCTCCAGAATTCCAAATTACCTCCTCTTCTTCTTTCTGAAGGGGAGTTGAATATCTGTTCATGCCCCACCTTGCTATTCTTTAACTTCAAAAAAGCAAACACTGGTGAAATTCTGCCACTTTCAAAATCAACAAACACGTTTCGTGTGCTGTTTGGCACCAGGGCTGAGAAGCAAAGGACTCCAGGGCCCTGAAATAGGGGGCACAGCATGAGCGCCCCAGTTCTGGAATAAGTAGATGGAATTCCCAGGACTCCAGGAGAAGCCACACGACAGAGGGCAGATCATCCTCCTGGAAAAATATAGGAACAGCACGGATGATGGTTGCTCTTCCCTTAGGGACAAAAATACACCACCCGCACAGGGCAAAGGGTGCCAGGGAGCTTTCGAGAAAGCGGCCGTCTTGGAGCTTTTCTTTCCCTCTCGCGCTGTGCAGCTCCAGTCGGACTTACCGCGTCGTCCTGGGAAAGCAGAACCTCAAGGAGGAAGAGGTGGGTTCGGTGGCTGTCGCTGTGGAGAAGATGATCGTGCATGAGAAATGGAACTCCTTCCTGATCATGTAAGTCAGAGATCCCCAAAAGAAAAGGGGGCCCCTTCAGAATCCCTGCCCCCCCTGATTTTTAGACCCCCTTTGGTTCTTCTCTGTTGTTATTATTTTTGGTGTCTGGCACGCTGGCATGCCTTGACCTCGTATGTATTTAAATCCGGCTTTTCTCTTGCTTCGACACCAAAAGCCGACCTCCTTTGCGCGGTTCTGCTTTCGTCACTGCCGCACGAGTGTTTGCAGCTCTTCTCCCCTTTTCCAGCAATGACATTGCCCTGGTCAAACTCGCCGAGCCCGTGACGCTGAGCGACACAATCCAGCCCGCTTGCCTGCCCCCTGCAGACAGCTTGCTGCCCCAGGACTACCCCTGCTACGTCACGGGATGGGGACGCCTCTGGAGTAAGTGGATTCGTCCGCCCTCCTGCCGGTCGTCAGGGAGACGTTCTGGGAGCCGGGCACCGGCCGGGATGCAGGCCGGCGGGTCGGGAGGCCGAGTCCTGCAGGGAAGGGTGCGGGTCCTTGGCCACGCGTGACCTTCCCCGCGCTTCTCCTCTCCGCAGCCAACGGGCCCATCGCCGACACGCTGCAGCAGGCCCTGCTGCCCGTGGTGGACCATCAGACTTGCACCCAGAGGGACTGGTGGGGCTCCCAGGTCAAAGACACCATGGTCTGTGCCGGAGGGGATGGCGTCGTTTCCGGGTGCAATGTAAGTTTCCCCTGCTTCTTCCTCATGGCCGCTGAAGGGGCTTGCCCGGGTTTGCTTCTGTCCGTGCGTCACTCTCATGGCTAAAAGAAGGAGCCTTGGCAAGTCACTAGTCCTGAGAGTGGAAAGCTGCCCTGTAACAGGTCAAACTGGTAGTCCATCCCGGTCAGAACTGCCCTTCTACTCCAGCCTCCCTCTTCAAGTGTGTTGGACTACAATGCCTATTGGCATTGCTTGGCTGGGGCTGCTGGGAGTTGTAGTGGGAGATGTCTACGGGGCACTAGGTTGGAGAAGACCGGCTTGCTTTGACTGGCAGTGGCTTCCCAGGGTCTTGGATCTTGCCAGATCTGGAATTAGGGATGAGGTGTGAAGAGAGAGGGATGTAACATTCAGTCTGTCAGGAACTCACCTCTCTGTCTCAAATATCTGCAAATAAAAGGACACCCTCCAAGTTTGCATAGCGTGGGGTCAGAGGGCTGAGTGTTGCCCTGGGACCTGGGAGGCCCGGCTCGTAGCCCCCACTTGGCCACGAAGCTCTCTGGGGGACTGTGGCCAGTCATGTATTCCCAGCCTCGCCTACCTCGCAGGGTCGTGTGAGGATAAAATGGAGAAGGGGAGACTCATCACGGGCAGCTTGGGTTCCTTGCAGGAAAAAGGCAGGCTCTAAATGTAAGAAATAAACGATATAGATTTCTTTGTGAGCGTGGGTTTTCTCCCCAGCACGAAACCTTCCCAGAATGTGGAATTGTAAGCAGAAAAGCGCCCAGGAAAGGGTTTCGGTAGAAGCTCTTATTCCGTAATATAATTCGGCATGATGCGCTCAACAATCAACAAGCTGGATTTCTCACCAACGTGATTTCTGGGTTCAGGCAGCATGACAACCCCACACTCAGCCCTTGAGCAGGCAGTGAGTGTGGGTGGGTGCAGAATGGGGTGGTCCTGCTCTTTGAACCCAGCTGAGGTAATCAACCCACCGTTCCACAACCCCTGAATTCTTTTCATGGGTTGTTTGTGCCTCTCAGTCCAGGCTGGGTAGCGCAGCTGGGTTCAGACAACACAGCAACCCACCCCAACCGTGCTGTCCAAAGCTCGTGCTGATGGTGGTGTCCCGCCCGCTCCCGTGGGCGCTTCTTTAGCGTGGGTTTGCACCCCTCACTGTGGTATGAGAAGGAAGCAAGTGACTAATTAATATATATTTTGATATGCTGTCCTTTCCTTGTTCCAGGGAGACTCAGGGGGTCCTCTGAACTGCCAGGAGAAAAACATTTGGGAAGTCCATGGCATCGTGAGCTTTGGCTCAGGCTGGAAATGCAACACTTCCAAGAAACCGACGGTTTTCACCCGGGTGTCTGCATTCATCCCTTGGATCACCGAGGTGAGTCTCTCCTCTTTGCACAGCTGGTCTTGGTTCTTGGAGTGACACAATCAGCCACACTTCCTTCTCCATCAGAACCTGAACGTTGAGTTCATAGACTCCCAGTGGGGATGTTCAGAATTTGAATGGAGTCCTGTGCTGGCATTTCTTGATGTGCTTTCGCTTTGCGGGTCGAAACCCTGTTTGGGGATGGTTGTCTTTATAGTTGTCATGTGCCATCCAGCTGCCTCCAACTTATGGAAACCCGAGCAATGGAAGCCCTCAGAGTGGCCTGCCCGTGACAGCCCCACTCAGCCGCTGTCAGCCGCAGGCCGTGGCTTCTTGGATGGAGGGGGTCCCTCCTATAGCTGGTCTTCCTCTTCTTCGGGCTTCAACTTGCCCCAGCCCTGCTGGACCTGCCCAGGGGGTTTGTCTTTCTCATGATGTGCTCACCTGGATCTTATCTATGCCATCGCCTTCCCTTGCATTGGCTCAAGCCCTGCTGAGACATTCCTGCTGGGGACAACAAGATAGCGCTCAATGTGGACAAGGGCAAGGAATGGGTGTCGTAAGTACAGGTCAGGGGACAAGTGGCTGGAGAGCAGCACTTGTGAAAGGGACTTCAGGTGCTGGTCGACTGCAGGCTAAACACGAGCCAGCAGTGTGATGCGGTGGCCAAGAGGGCGAACGCCACCCTTGGTTGCATAGCCAGAAGTGTTGCTTCTACATCAGGAGAGGTATTACTGCCATTCTGAATGACCCTGGTGTGCCCGCAACTGGAGTATTGTGCTCAGTTCTGGGCCCCTCATTACAGGAAGGATATGGCCAGGCTAGAGTCAGTGCAGCGAAGGGCCACTAGGACAGTGGCCAGTTTGCAGGGGAAGCCAAATGAGGAGAGACGGAGGGAGCAGGGTCTTTTCAGCCTGGAGGAGAGGAGACTCCAAAGGGATCTGTTGGTGGCATATAGGTGTCACATGGAAGTGGGTAGAAAAATGTTTTTCCCTGTGGAGGAGGGCAAGACGCATTCCAGTGAAGCAAAGTTCAGGGAGCCAAGGTTCCATTTGGATGCCAGGAAGCACTTCCTGACATTTAGGACCCCGAGGGTCTGGAACAGGCTTCCCCGGGAGGTGGTGGAGGCCCCATTGGTGCGGGTGTTCAAGGATAGGCTGGACATGCACATGGTAGGCATGTCACGAGCGGAGCTGGCTGGAGCTGGGGGTCAGACTAGATGGCCCGGGAGGCCCCTTGACTAGCGCTCTGTTTCTGTGTTTCTGTGTTCCACTCCTACGGTCCCAAGCAATCCAAGCTCTACTGCACATGCTTGGAATTCTGCTTTGAAACCTCACACCAGACATACAAAAGTACCCCTGCCCCACGGCCCACTGCAGGCTTCGCACCCTCACACACAGAGGTCCCATCTTGCGTATGGGCCTGTTCCACGTGCTTGGGAGGGTTCTGCTGAAGGAGCTGCATAAAGGAGGACGTTGCAAGCCAAGGTGGTGCCGGGCAGGTGCTCTCCAGGGCCTGCTGGCCGGCCAGGCTGCTGCCCAAGCAAAGGACGAGGCGGCACCCCGTCCCGTGCCACGTGGCCAAGCTGCTCAGACTGGCAGACTAATCTCTCCCACGCGCCGGCTGTGAGGCTGCTTCAGGGCCACGTGGCGCTCAGCAGGGCCCAGAGCTGTGGCCGCCCACGACCCTCGCCGCCCCCTCCCAGCGTCCGCTGCCTGAGGTCACCGCTTCGCTTTGCCCATCGGCAGGGCAGCCCCGGTGCCTGAGGTGGCAGGGGAGCAGCGAGAGCAGAAGGAAGAGGACTTTTGGGGGAGCAAGGCGTCCTTAGCATCAGAGGGCGGAGTTGGGGGAGCAGAGATCATGGCTGGGGTGGATTAAAATATAAGGAAGGACTGAGGAAAGAGGAGCAGGGCTTGGGGGGCTTGGAAGGGGAGAATGGGCCCCTCCCGCTGGAAGCAGAAGCAGCAGAAGCAGCTGCTGGTTTTTCTAAGCCATCCAGAGACTTTAGTATTGGTGGCATATAAAAACTGAATGAAGAATGAATGAATGAATGCATAGACAGTGTGAAGAGTGAAGGAGGTGCATCACTGGGTTGATGGAGCTGGGGGTCAGACTAGATGGCCCGGGAGACCCCTTCTGACTCGCTCTGTTTCTCTGTTTCCAGTGTTTCTCCTCTAGCATGAAAGCTGGGAAAGAGGTCCTAGTGGGCACAGCCACTAAGTCAGGGAAGGGGAATCCAAGCTGCGGGTGGGAGAGATAATGCCCCACCCAGCTTTCCATGAGCTGGGGGACACTGGGGCACGGCTGTGCCCCATAGCCGTGTCCTCTGTTCCCCACCCAAGACACTGGTCAGAATCACAATCCATAGGGAAGTTTGGTGACTCCCAAGACACTGTCCTCCTCATCCAGCTTTTCTTTTCCGCTTTATCGGAGCTATCTGTCATGCACCTCTTTCGATGATGGAGTGCAGCACCATGGAGAACTTCGATGGAGCTCAGCATAAAAGCTGCACTGGCTAGGGAGCCCCACTGCATGGGAGTCAAGGGCTCCCCCTGCCAGTTCTTTACCTGAGGATGAACTTGGTTGCAGAGAACTAGCGAGGGAAACGTCGCACCCCAACGGAGGCAGCTGCCAGAGGAGTTTCCCAGGCTCAGCACCGACTTGAAGGGGCGTGAGCCTGGCCCCGGCTGGCCGCCTCCCTCCTCTTTTACACACTGTATGTATTTCAGCGACTCAACTCACCTTTATTGGTTTCTTTTCCTCTGCTAGAAAATGAGCCAGAACTGAAGCCTTCGCTCTGCACAGGGGATGCACACAACCAACACCCAATAAAGCTTTTCACCCCCACAAGCAAACCTTGTGTTGGCGTCTTTTCCCGCCTGGAGCGCGTGGCACGGTTCACCCCCCCCCCCCCCCCGCCTCCAGTATCTCATGGTTGGAACCACCGGCACCGTTCTGGTGCTTATGTTCCAACTGGCCCTTTTGCTTGGCATGGTCCTAAGAATTCCGGAAGAGGAGTCTGGATCAGACCAAGGCCTGTGGGGTCCCGCATCCTGTTGCCTCAGTGGCCAAAGATGCATCCCGATGGGAAGCCCACAAGCAGGATGCGAGTGCAACAGCAAGCCCATTTACTCTCTGGTAGCTGAGCCCAGGCCAACCCCGTTCTCCCCTAGTTGTGGCTGAAGCAGCGAATCCCAGGAGCGGAAGCAAGTTGTCCCCACATCTTTCATCATGAGTGACAGTCGGATGGATTTCTCGACCAATACATGCCTTCTACGCCTTCCATATCCCAAAAGGTGCAGATTCCAGCAGCACAATAACACAAAGCATGAAATCTGCAGAACAAACTTGCTTATTAAAAGCAAGCTTAATAAGAAACAAAGCAAGAGGTCTGTACATACACAACCCACACAAGCATATATGTTCAAGTATATTTAACATTTGGTACAGGCCAAGTTGCGGTGCCCCTGCTTGTTAAAAGAGAAATCTCAAGGGCCCTCTAAAGTCAGGAGCGGTCTAAGTTTTGCGGGCTCGGCCCTTCCCGTCTGGCCTTCACTGCAGGGCGCCCGAGAGTCTCCTTGCAAGGCAGGTCTTCGCTGGCGCTCTGCTGCAAGGCAAAGGACTTCTAAAAGCCCTCCAGTGCTGGTGATCCAAAGAAACCAAACACATCCGTGCAAGACGGGGAGTGGGTGGCTCAGCAACCCACTGAGGAAGGAAAAAGGAAATGAAGGACCCACTGAGGAAGGAATTATAAGACCTTGGAATTATTGTGGACAGCAGGCTAAACATGAGGCAACAACGCGATGCAGCCGCAAAGAGGGCAAAGGCTATTCTGGGATGCATTAATAGAAGTATCGCTTCCAAATCACGAGAGGCAGTAGTGCCTACTCTAGTCAGACCCCGTCTGGAGCACTGTGTCCAGTTCTGGGCACCAAGGTTTAAGAGAGACGCAGGAAAATTAGAAAGGGCCCAGCGGAGGGCAACAGAAATGATCCAGGGTTTGGAAACACTGCCCATGAGGAGAGACTGGGAGAACGGGGCATGTTCAGCCTTGAGAAGAGAAGACTGAGGGGGACTTGAGATCCCTCTACAAGTGCCTCAAAGGCTGTCACAAAGAGGAAGGTCCAGATCTCTCCTTGCTGATCCCAGAGTGTAGGACACAGAATGATCAGTTCAAGTTGCGACAACCCAGATTCAGGCTGGACATCAGGAACAGCTTCCTCAGTGTCAGAGCAATAGGGCAGTGGAAGCAGCTGCCTGGAGAGGTGGGGGGTGCTCCCACACTGGAGGCATTCAGAGTGAAACTGGACAGCCACCTGAGTGGGATGGTGTAACGTGGTGTCCTGAAACCTGATGGCCTTCATGGCCCCCTCCAACTCTTCTATGATTCTGGTTATTTTGGGAAGCTTAACCTCTGCTCATGTCAAGAGTGTTGAACCCAAGCTGGGGACTTCTCCCCAGGACCCTTCCCTTTCAGTACCTTTGGGGGCTCAGGATGGCTCCCGCAGGTGAAGGACTGGCCAGCAAGACCTACACAAATTGGGCAGCTCATCTCCCCTGAGGCTGCGCCATGGGCCAGGGGCTGGGCGAGGCCGTGGCTCCTCCCGTTCCCCTTCTGGCGCCCATCCTGCACCTGGATTTTGCCCTGCCTTGAGTTCTGCTCCCCGGGGCCCGGGTGCCTCTGTCTTGATGCTCCAGATCCTGGCTTGAAATTAAAAGTTGTCAGCCTCTTGGAGACACTCCCTGCTGTGCTTTCTTCCAGATTCCTGCAGAATATTTTTTTAAACCCAGCTTGGCTTTTGGAAGAGACACAGGTGAATGGGGGCGACACTGCCTTGCCCTGAGGTAAAATCATCAGGCCAGGAGAGGATCTTCCCTCCGGAAGGCCCGGGCTGCTTTGGGTCCGTTGCTGGCTGCCGGGGGGATGTGGAAATGGACGATGATCCAGAGCAGTGGCCAGGAGTGGAAAGGCTATGCAGAATTCCGACCAGGACAGCGGAGCAGGGCCAGGAAATCTGCACAGGAGGGATTTAAAAAGAAAAGGCTTGCGAACTGCCACGGCACTCGAGAACGCTCAGGAAGTG